AAAAATAGCTGGGAAACAGATACTAACAAGACCTGGCAATGGCTAGGAGCAGGAAAATTGAAGAAAGAGACCGAGGGACTAATTCTGGCTGCACAAGACCAAGCCTTAAGGACAAATGCATATAAAGTCAAAATTGAGAAGACAGCAATAGACAGTAAGTGCCGCCTATGCAAAGAAGCTGAAGAAACAGTGGACCACCTGGTAAGCTGTTGCAAGAAGATTGCACAGACTGACTACAAGCAGTGGCATGACAAAGTAGCAACAATGGTGCATTGGAAGATCTGCAAGAAATATCATTTTCCTGTAAGCAAAAACTGGTGGGATCATAAAATAGAGAAAGTCATAGAAAATGATAAAATTAAACTGCTCTGGGACTTCAGAATTCAAACAGACAAGTACCTGCACCATAACCCCCCCAGACTTAACAATTGTCGATAAGGAAGACAAAAAAGTCTGGATAGTGGACGTGGCAGTGCCTGGAGACAGCAGAATAGACGAGAAAGAACTGGAGAAGATAACAAAATACAAAGACCTACAAACAGAAACGGAAAGACTGTGGCAAAAGCAAGCAAGGGTAGTACCAATAGTCATAGGCACCTTGGGTGCAATCCCAAAACAACTGGAGCACCACTTGAACACCATTGGCATTGACAAATTCACTATTAGTCAATTGCAAAAGGTGACCTTACTAGAACTGCTTCCATCCTGCGACGATATCTGTAATACCATCAAACATCCACATTTGCCTATCCCAGGTCCTGGGTAAGGACTCAATAGGTAGACAAAATGCCAAATCCAGTCTGAACATCTGGCTGACTGTGCGATGATCCATAATAATAATAATAATAATAATAATAATAATAACAACAACAACAACAACAACAACAACAACCCCCAGTGAGGCACTACCTTGACGTGGTTGTGGGGCTTGTGTACTCTGAAGAAGATGAGAGCTATGCCATAGGTTCAACCATACTGGACAAGTCTCATCAGAGGAATCAGACAAAGAGTGTCTCTCCCATAAAAAATATGGTGAGACGTAAATTACAGAATGCCATACAGGCTCGGATGTCGCCCGGGTTAACAAGGTCCGCGCTAGATATTGGAGTTCCTGGATATTTGGTGAAAAATAGGTTACAGGACTCAGGACTGTTGGCTGAGCAACCAGGGCCAGCAGCTGCAGAACTACTGGAAGAAAAGGTGTTTACTCGTCGCAGATACACAGTGATTGAAAACAAAGAAATAATGATCTGTTACTACAGATCAAGTCCAACAAGAAGACTTACAAATAGAAATAGAAAAATCATACAAAGCCAGTGTTGCCTATGTAGGAGCTGAAAAAACAGTGGAACACTTGGTTAGATTGCACAGATTGACTACCAGTAACAGCAATGAGTTTAGCAAAATCACATTTTTATATATAATTCTTTTCATTCTTTTATACATAAAACTCTTCTCATTCTTTTAAAAAAAGTATAAACAAGAGTAGCAGAAGAATTATCTCACCTCTCCTGGCAATGAAAAATTATCAGGAGTGAAATTTTCTTGTTCTTCCTAATGTAATAATTCATAAAGTATGAAAAATCTACTTTATTTTGTAAATAATATTAAAATAATTTTTGGATTAATATCAAATAATATTTACTGTTAAATATTTCTTTCTTGTCACCATACTGAAATCATGCACACGTGCATGAATGCACATATACACACATATATTTACCGATAATTTCAATTTTCATTTAATATATTAAAAGTTCATATACTGAATGGTTATGTGTCATTTAACAAAGAACAGCAGAAGGAAGATTGATACAATCTCATTCTGAGATTGATCTTCTAAATGCTGGCTGATTATAATTTTGATTCTCAGGTCTATCAAAGTAGCAGCTCATGATTTTGTGTCTCAGAAATACTTGGAGATTTAATTATTCCATTCTTTAGTTTTCAATGTCTTTTAGCAAGCTCATTTTCAAGTGATAAAAAGCTACTTTTTTGTAGAAAGAAGTTAAAAGGAAAACACATTTTCTATTTGCTTTTTTATATAGGTGAATCTATCACATTTCATTTGAGTCAATAAACACAGCTGTCCACATAATCCAAAGTCTTTTATGTTCAAAGAGTCCTTTTTATTTATTTTACAATATTTAACATGAATAATAAATAAATGATTTTTTTTCTGAGCATATACAATAAAAAAGTTAAATATATTTCAGAATACTGATCCAAGGAATTATTAACTAAAACAGGAAAATAGCAACTAGAAAACAAAAACCAGCAACATTTTAAAATGAGAAATCTGAATCCTTTATTTTTTTTTATATTTGTAATAAATGAAAATACTGAATTAATGATTTGTGTATGTTCTGGGGAAAAAGTGCCAGTTGTATAACAGTAGCTAAAAGCATAGTTCTTGTAGCTAAATTTCAGTTAAAAAAATTAATGTTTTACTACCATTCAAATAGGCTCTGAAATGTCTTTGGGAGGCCAGGGACTATGCCTAATATTTGGGAAGCTGGGCTAAAAATCACAGCGGATGGAATAAAAAGATTACTTTCCTTCACCAGCATCAGACTATTCTTTCAAGGATGTATGAAAACTTTCTTTTTCTTTCTTTCTTTCTTTCTTTCTTTCTTTCTTTCTTTCTTTCTTTCTTTCTTTCTTTCTTTCTTTCTTTCTCTCTCTCTCTCTCTCTCTCTTTCCTTCCTTCCTCCCTTCCCTCCCTCCCTCCCTCCCTCCCTCCCTCCCTCAATTAAAGGCTATCTGGGGTTTTTCATCATACTTCTGTTTCCTATCTCAAATTGACAGGAAAAAAATGAAGTGTTATCATTTTTTAAAATTATTTGGATGAAAGCTATGAGAAGTTGACAAAATAGGGCACAAATGTTTGGATTTCAAGGTAGTCTCTCCTGTTCAAAAGAATATATCAGTTGTTGTATAAAACTGTAAATCTTGAACAGTTGACTGTTTATCTTGCATACATTTATGAACATGAAAAACAACCTGATGCTTACATTTTTCTTACTGGAAAAAAGGGTATTCAGCATGAACTGATATTAATATAATTGAATTACTACATATGCAGATGATACCACTCTAATGGCAGAAAGTGAAGAGGAACTAAAGAGCCTCTTGATGCGGGTGAAGAAGGAGAGTGCAAAAGTTGGCTTGAAACTCAACATTAAGAAAACCAAAATCATGGCATCCGGCCCTCTCAATTCCTGGCAAATAGATGGGGAAGAAATGGAGGTAGTGACAGATTTTATTTTTCTGGGCTCCAAGATCACCTCAGATGGGGACTGCAGCCAAGAAATTAAAAGACGCTTGCTCCTGGGGAGGAAAGCTATGGCAAATCTAGACAGCATACTAAAAAGCAGAGACATCACCCTGCCAACAAAAGTGCGTATAGTCCAGGCCATGGTTTTCCCAGTTGCAATGTATGGCTGTGAAAGTTGGACCATAAGAAAGGCTGAGCGCCAAAGAATTGAGGCCTTTGAACTATGGTGCTGGAGAAGACTCCTGCGAGTCCCTTGGACTGCAAGGCGTTCAAACCGGTCAGTCCTAGAAGAGATCAACCCTGACTGCTCTTTAGAAGGCCAGATCCTGAAGTTGAAACTCAAATACTTTGGACACCTAATGAGAAGGAAGGACTCACTGGAGAAGGGCCTAATGCTGGGAAAGATTGAGGGCAACAGAAGAAGGAGATGACAGAGAATGAGGTGGCTGGATGGAGTCACTGAAGCAGTAGGCGTGAACTTAAATGGACTCCAGAAGATGGTAGAGGAAAGGAAGACCTGGAGGAACATTATCCATGGGGTCGCGATGGGTCAGACACGACTTCGCAATTAACAACAACAACAACAAATGTTTTATTCCATTTATTCAGGACATAAAAAGGTATGAACCAGTAGCACTTGAAAGCACCCTTAAAGTTTTCCAGTTCAAAATATATGGAAGCTTAAAATATTTTTATGTATGGAATGAACCAAAACGGCAATATCACATTTTATAGTTAGCCAAATTTGAATGGGATATTTATATCACATTCTAACCAAATCATTTGATCAGGGAAAAATCAAAACACCAGCCTTGTTTTCCTTTGGTGAATATTTCATCACTTCAGTAAGAATTGTTCTTCCACTGTTTGTGTGTGAACCAGAAAAACTCTTCATTCTTTAAAAAAGACGTAAACAAAAGTAGCAGCAGATGTACTTGTCCTGGCAATTTAGAATTCACAGGAGTGCAATTTTCTTGTTCTTCCTAATGTAATAATTCATAAACTATGCAATATCTACTTTACTCAGTAATTCCCTTGCTATCATCAAAGAATAATATAATCCCCTCCCAAACAGCATACTTATCAACATCATATTTCAGTGCAAACAATATTGAATTTAAGGAGATTCCCTAAGGAGATTTCCAGAATGAAGATGTCTTCAACACATCTGACACACAGAAATTATTCAGGACTGTCCCCTTCTTAGTGCAAAAGACAACAAAAAAAGTCTCGCGTGTGTGTGTGTGTGTGTGTGTGTGTGTAGGTAGGTAGGTAGGTAGATAGATAGATAGATATAGACATATATCTTCAGTAGATTTTTTTCATTACTTACTACCTGACTTTTTATCTGAGGTTCTAGAAAATAAACTGAAAATCTTCTATCCCAAAAGAATACCAAGCACTAAGCTTTTAGCCCATAGCTCAGGGAAGCTGTCAGGGGATTCTTAGTCATTCATAACATCTCTGAATTCCTACAAACATGACACTGTTAACTCTTCTGCTTTTGGCAATCCAGGCACTTTTAAAAGCAATGCACGGAAGCAATGTGCACATAATGATCCTCAAAAGATTCCATTAATTATCCCTCTAATATTTTAATGCTTTGTGGTTCAGATCACTTGAATAAACAGTCAGTTTAACGAATCTGTTTAAGCAAGAGCAGTGGACAGAGTCTGAATAATTCTTAATAAAACAAGAAAGGCAGTTTTATGTGTTTACTTACTGTTGGTTGCATAACATATGACGGATGGGGCATCCATGAAGTACTCTGAACCTGTGTACCAGAAAGAACAGCCTATTAGCTAAATGGCAAGAAAAAAGGGAGAAAAACCCTTTAAATAGTCTTGCTTTGAAAAAAAGGTAGATTAGAATGAAAATTTTGCGTTCCATTTTGAAAAATTTCATAACTTTAAATGTTTATATTCTATAATTATATAAGAGCTGGAAGTAATACAGGTAGTCCTCAACATATGGCCACAATTGTGCCCAAAATTTATGTTGCTAAGTGAGACATTTGTTAAGTGAGTTTTGCCCCATTTTACAACTTCTCTTGCCACAATTGTTAAGTGAATCACTGTAGTTGTTAAATTAGTAAGACGGTTGTTAAATGAATCTGGTTTCTCCATTGATTTTGCTTGTCAGAAGGGGATCACATGACCCCAGGCACTGCAATCATCATAAATGTGAGTCAGTTGTCAAGCATCCAAATGTAAATCACATGACCATGGGGATGCTGCAACTATTATAAGTTTGAAAAGTGGTCATAAATCATTTTTTTCAATGCAATATTAAACATCACACAGATCTGAATAAACTATCTTGTACTCATGATCAAATGCAGGGCTGATATACATAGCGATCACCTGAGAAATACAATGAAGCTGATATTGTACATGAACAACAATTAATACCACATATTATAATTAATATAAAGGAAGCAATATATATGATTGCAGCACCAATAATGTTAATGTTAATTTTATATTAAAGGATTATTGGATTTATGATTTGGGGACTTCAATCACTTATATTCATTACTCTATACTCTTTCTTTATAAAATTATATATATATATATATATATATATATATATATATATATATATATACATACACACACACACACACACACACACATACACACACATACACACAAAAATACTATTGTTTTTATTGTTTTAAATTTTTGCTAGAATTTTGATTGTAATATATTTTGTGAATTGTGATTGACTGAGACGACCAGCTTTAGATATTGAATGAATGAATGAATGGATGGATGGATGGATGGATGGATGGAATGAATACTGGAAATAATTCTTTGCTGATGCTTTGAGAATATTTAGTTGGTTTAATAAAGCATAATGCTATTAAGCAAAACAATTAGGGTTCACACTATATTTTAAAAATATTAATTAGTTCAGAGATTGATGACTGTCTTCTATTTTATAATAAATAGCAATCTCATGAGGAAGAATATATGGTTCCATTTTGATAAGTAAATTTCAAATTAGAACCAGTTCAAAAATCAAAGAAATGTATTTTCTAATAATCCTGAACTTTTTGCAATTCTCTCCATTAAGAATAATCCTATTTTCGCAGTTTATGAGATCTTGTTTACTAATGCTACTGTCCTTTCAGACAACAAAGAGGCTTAATCAAGCTCAGAAAGACCAGTAAATAATATTATCAGGCAGTAATAGGCTTTGGACTATCTAATGTAACATAAATATATAAGAGGTCACAAATCCAAGATCACTGTTTGCTTTAAATTCTTCTGCAACTATTGCTCACTTTACAGAGCAGCAACTATAAGACAAATATCTAACAGCAACGATAACAAACTGAGGAATTATGCCAAGTCTCTTCCAATAACTTGTGGGGTATTACATAAAGGAATGTAGAGTGGTAACCTCTGTATTATATTGTTCAAAATATTTCAAAATAGTACCAATATCAACACTCTTGTTCTTCCCATCTGTTTGGAAGTTACTTTTATGATCATTTAAAGTTTTACTGGCTAAAAATAGGGTAAAGAATATGCCTTGATCAACATTAATTAGTGTCCCAGATGACCAACAAGGAAGCATTACTTTTCATATCTTTAAAATCTAATTGAGAATGGGTCTAGGACAATTGATGCTAGCCACATTGCTGTACCTATTCCACCACGTCCCCCCATAGCAGCCAATATTATGCTCAGTGGGCCCTCCCCTGGTGCTCCTTCCCTGGCCATAGTCTGTTGGCGCTCTTGCCCCACCCCCTTGTTCCAGGTGATTTACTGAAAGACACGTATCTCTGGGCAATTCATTGTGTGGGACAATTAAATGTGCCTCTTGGTGGCCGGGTGAAGCAGGAAGCAGTCCTGGGCACTGGGTCAGAAAGAAAGACATGTGGTGATTGCTGTGCAGGGCAACTGGCTGTACAACACTTCCAGACAAGGGCACTTTAAGCAGCAAAGGAGGCAAAGAAGGGCAGGATGTGAGCTGGGTCCCTTCCTCCCAGCCTGACCCTCTCGGGCTTCCTTGGCCTTCATGGGATGGAGAAAGGTCATTCTGACCCTGACTGAGCCATGCCACTGGAGGAGGCAACACATTCCTGGTATGTGCCATTCCCTAATGGCAGTGCTGCAACAGTAGTGATGATAGGGTGGCAGCAGCAGCAGTCCAGCCAGGGGTCACTCCTGCTTGGGCCAGGCTACATTTGTAGCTGCGTGGAGCTAGAGGTGACTCGCCTGCTCATGCAGCTGTCTCCATGCCCCCGTCCATCTTTTCTCCTCACCATGTGGGTTGCTTACTTTCTGATATTTTTAAGCAGGAAGCTCTGTCTCCAGCTCCCTTTCATGCATGGAGTGCCCTTGCGCAGTCCCAGGCAGGCTGAAGGCATGGGCTCCAAGCTCCCTTCCCCACATGGGCTCCCCACATGCTTCCTGCTTCCTCGCTCCATGAATTCCACTGCCGCCTGAGGCTTCTTAGGCTATTAATAATTTTTTTCTTGATATATTTTTATCTCTTCAAATATTTATCTCATCAGTCATTTAACTATTTGGTGGCTAAACTATTCTTTTCATGAAACACTTGTAAAGCCTTTGAAACCAAGCATTCCAGATCTAATCATTCTCATATTTTATTTTTTTCTCTTTCCCCAACAGGTTCTATTTGACAAATTAATTTATTGAGATTCACCATATACTTGAAAAATTATCCTTAGTTTTTTAGAAAACTAAAGGTAACTTCAGTGGCACAGGTGGTAACCCCCCCAAGCAATTGTGGCGATCACCTTGGTTTTTAATATTTTTTTCTTATGTTGCTATACACTTTGTAATATATTATTTCAAAAGTGTTTATATAATATTATTAAAGATTATTAATCATCTATTATTTAGATAGTATAAAATATGGAGAAGAAAGAAAAAAAGGAAATATATTCTACCAATATTAGTTACAATTTAGGGTGTCATTAATGCAAACATAAAACAATACATTCAAAATTGAGTATAATAATAATAAAGAACCATTATAACAAGTATTTATTGTATAGTAGATGTTTCAGTCTTAATCTGATTACCTAATATTAAAGTCTACATTGCATTGTTAACACACATTAGAAAAAAATAGATAAATAGAGCAAATTGAACAAGAATTACAATACAAAACTGTAGAAAGAAAACAAGAAAATGAAATATTAAAAATAATTACTGGGTTTGTGACTCTTCCCTTTTGATACATTTTCTGATTCACAATATTTGTAGACATTTAAGTCCTCTTAGATGTCAGATACATTTAATTATATATACTATTTTGCATGATATGTTGTAGCTTTGGGAACCATTTTTGCTTAAATTTAGTTAAATTTCTGTTGTGTACATATACTGTTAATTTTACTACTCCTGCATATTCTTCAAATCCCCAATCAGGTATTGTTGGAATTGTTTCTTTCTTCCAGTTTTAAGTGAAATTTATTATTGCTACTGTAAGCATTTATTTAATGGAATTAATATTTCTTGTTGGTTTTTATTGATTTATAGATTATATGTAGTATGAAAACTTGTGGTTTCATTTCAAATTTAAATTCCAAGACTTTATGCACTATACTATGTATGACTTCCCAACACTTTTGAGGTTTTTTTGCCCATGTCTATCAGATGTTATAAAACAGCTCTTTTGACCTTTACTTGTGCCTGGTTGATTCCATTTCCTTTCTTATTTGTCTGTTTGCTATATAATAATCTATCTTTCTAATGTACTGACATGAACAGTTGAAATTTCATTAGGTCAAAATTATAAAAATTAAAATAAATCAGAATATATTCAAAGCTTAAGCTAATGCCACAGACTCTGCATGGAACAAACAATTTTTTTGTGCTACTTAATGTCATTTGTATAATCATTTTTATAAACATTATATAATTGATATAACTATTTAATATACTAATATATAATTGCAGCAAATCACAGATATGTGACTGACTGAATTTAACTGGTATGTGTATAACAGGCATGCCTTCTTCCCTCACCCTTGCCAGCTTTTTCTGTTACAATGAGGATATAGTATAATTTAATGTCCTCTTTATCTACAAAATATCCAATGTTGGTTGAAAATATTATGCAAGGGCAAACACACTATGATAATACATTTACAAACTAAAAGTTATGACAACTAATCATTCAGAAAACCAACTAATATTTAAAAGTGAATTTTAAATTATTGTTACAAAGGAAAAATTTGCTCTAGGCATGCTATGCTACAGTACTTATGCAGTTGTTACTTGAAGATCTTGTACGGACAAGATGAAGAGATCACTCAGAAACGGACAAGATGAAGAAACGGACAAGATGAAGAGATCACTCAGGTATTTAAAATAGTAAAAAAGCAGTTTGCTGGATGTGTCACGCCAAACCCACCCCATTGCCGGCAATGGGAAAAAGTCGTGATATGTCACAACACATCATGTGACGTTGCGAGTTTGACACCTTTGTATAAGTGCCTTGCAACAACTGGGGTAGCTATATTGATTCAAGAGAGGGTATCTTATATGTATTTCCATTCTGTTTATGGGGTATAAGTCATAATTCCAGTGCAACTTTAGCTCATAGTAAAAATACATACTTTGCTTAGTTAAGAAAGCATGTTTCTATTATACCAAATACTTAACAGGAGTCATAGCTATTGTTAGTGTTATGGTAGCTGTGGGATGTAAAACAATATGACTTTTCAACAGAAGAGTATATATGTAACTCAGGGTTCACAAGAAACAATGGTTGGAAATTGATCAAAAAGAGAAGCAACCTGGAATTAAGGACAAAATTCCTGACAGTGAGGACAATTAACCAGTGGAACAGCTTGCCTCCATAAATTGTGGGGGCTTCACCATTGGAGATTTTTAAGAAGAGGCTACAGAAGTTACTTATCTGAAATGATATAAGTTCTCCTGCTTGAGCAGGGGGCTGGACTAAACGACTTCCAAGGCCGCTTCCAGCTCTTTTCAGATCAGTTTTTAACTGTGAGGTCCTTGGTGCTTTCTAAGGTTGATTATTTGCTTATAGACATTTTATTACCCAACTATCTAATAGCAATGTTACCACTGTTTCTGATCATCACTTCTTGTTTAAAAGATACATTTAGATTGTGTAAACTGAAAACTTAATTTATGGAAGTATCAGTGTAAATTTTTTCTGAGATAATATATGTGGTAATTTTTAACAACAGGTTAAAGGAATTCTTACTCTAATATGATAATTAGAACAATAATGTCTGAAAATTAAACTGATATAAATCCTTGGGTTTGTACTAACAATAGTTTTCTTCTTTCTTTATGTAAACCGCCACAACCAGAATACATCAAGAATTGTAAATAACTCTCATTTTTAAGTGCTACTAAATAGAAAACCTAATTTATTTATTTATTTATTTATGAGACTTATATACCGCTTTAAGTGCAAGCACTCTCTAAGCGGTGTAAGCAATGTATGTATGTATATGTATGTATATATATATATATATATATATATATATATATATATATATATATATATATATATTTACATTGCCCCCAACAATCTTGGTCCTCATTTTACCTACCCCGGAAGGATGGAAGGCTGAGTCAACCTTGAGCCGGTGAGATTTGAACCGCTGACCTGCTGAACACAGTCAGCTAAAGTGGCCTGCAGTACTGCACTCTAACTGCTGCGCCACCTCGGCTCATGTGCAGGTCTGGACTATATGTTGTATATATTTACCATCCATTGATATTCAGGTCACAGATAATGACTTAGGGGTATATGAGGTGATTCAAACATACCTGATAAGTGGAGACAGGGGAAGCAGCAATGAATGGCGTGATTGATGTCTGTGGAATCATGCGGTTTGTAGCAATACTGTACGGTGAGGAATAAAATCTGCGAACAAAACAAAAAAAGGAAGAAAAAGAAAAAAGAGGTAATGGACTGACATGGACTGCTTCATAAACCAACTGAAAATAAATGTATCTTTATTCTCTACTTTAATTATTGTTAACCTTGTGGAATATTGATTAGAAGAGAATGGTGGGATATAAATCAGATAAATTAATAAAATAAAATAGTAAATGGGAATCACCCATTTATGCTCCTGCCTTTTCATTAGCAATATGCTTTAAAAAAAAAACCAACCACACTGGGCTAATTTTTGAATTATGATCAAGACATTGGGAGAGTTTAATTAAAAACTTGTTTTACTCAGATTTCTAACTAACTATGAAGTCAGAGACTAACCAAACTAAAGTTGAAATAAGATCCTCATCTTCTTTATTTCATATTAGCCTTGGTAATAAGGCTAATATTTTTCATAAAATTTATGTTTATTGTATTTGGTACACAATCCTTCGTATTACAATGGTACACAGTCCCTTTTATTTTTTATTTTTTAAATTTTTTTTATTAAGTACAAAGAAAAAAAGGACTAAAAACATTGAACATGGTAAATCGTTATTGACTGATATCTCACTCCATATTGTACATTAATTACATATAATATACCTATATACAACTATACATTTCTAGTCTCTATCTCAGTTTATCTCTTTACTGTGACCTCCATTTTTTCCCTCCATCTATAAAATTTATTCCGTATTCGATAAAATTCTGTTTCTTCCTGATTTTTCTAATCTTTTAGTTATCCTATCTAGTTCTGCGCAATACATAATTTTCTTTATTAGTGCTTCCCACTCGGTACTTCCATTGCTTTCCACTTTTGAGCAAATAGTATCCTTGCTGCTGTGACCACATGGATAATTAAATATGTGTCCTCTTTATTTACATTTTTCTCTAGTATTCCTAATAGTAATGTCTCTGGTTTGTATTGAATGTTTTGGCTAGTCATTTCTATTGCCCAATCCCAGACCATATGCCAGTACACCTGTGCTTCTCTACATGTCCACCATACATGAAAAAAGGTGCCCTTTTCTTTTTTATATTTCCAACACAGATGAATATCTGTTATACATTTTGGCTAATCTGGCCGGAGGGAGATGCCATCTGTAAACCATCTTATACAGGTTTTCTTTATATGATGTCACCACTGTGATTTTGTTATTTCGCTCCCATACTTACTGCCATTGATCCATATTTATATTATATCCTAGATCTATTGCCCATGTCACCATTGTTTCTTTAACCTGCTCCTCATATAGCTTATGTTCCAACAAATGTTTATAAATATTCTTTATTTGTTTTTTCTCCGGGCCTAGCAGTATTTTATCTAATCCCGTAACTTGTCTGTTAATTACCCATTCTTGCTTATCCTTCATGTATCTTGCTTGAATCTGGAGATAAGACCACCACTCCATGTCTATTCCTTGTTGTTTTAGCTCTTGTTTTTGTTTTAAATAACCTTCTTCTGTCAAGATGTCTTTATTTATAATAGCTTTGTCTATCCTGTACAAATTGGGGTATGTGATTGCCTCCAATGGCGATAGTCAAGCCGGGATCTTTGTGAAATATTGATGTTTAACTATATTCCAGCTTTTTATTAATTCTTGCTGAATCTTATGTCTTAAAAAATATTGGTGGTTTCTCCTTTGCCCCATCCATATGTGAGCATGCCAGCCCTGCTGGAGGTCATAACCCTCTAAATGTAAACATCTTTTATTTTCTAAGGTTATCCAGTCTCTAATCCGTGTTAGGGCCGCTGCTTGGTAATAGAACTCCCAATCTGGGAAACCTAAACCTCCCTTCTCTTTAGCATCCTGTAGTGCCTTTAATTTTATTCTTGCCTTCTTACCGGACCACACAAATTCTAAGGTTAATTTATTCAGCTCCTTGAAAAATTTCTTGTCTAATTGAATTGGAATATTCTGAAACAGGTAAGATGTTCATTTTCACTGCGGCAATTCTCCCAAGTAATGAGAGATGTAAATTTTTCCTGTGGTCTAAATCTACTTTTATATTCTTGACCAATTTGCCATAATTGTCTTCTTTAATTGATGAGCAGCGAGCTGAAATAACTATCCCTAAATATTTTAATTTGGAAACTACTTGTATACCTAATTTTGCCTCGAGGTTTCCTTTTTGTATGTTAGTCATGTTTTTTGTGATAATCTTTGTTTTGTTTCTATTTATTTTCAAACCTGCCAGATCCCCATACTCTTCCAATATTTCAAATAATTTCTGGCCTGATTGTTCTGAGTCTTCTAATATAAATGTAAGTCGTCTGCATAAGCTTGAAGTTTGTATGTTTCTTTCTTGATCTTAAGTCCTTTAATCTGCTCTTCTTGTCTTACTACTCTAGCAAGAATTTCTAATGTATATATGAATAAAAATGGTGAGAGAGGACATCCTTGTCTTGTGCCTTTCTGTATGTTGAATTTATCAGTGGCGTCTCCATTTATTATGATCTTGGCCTTTTGTTCAGAATATATTGCGGTTATCATGTTTAAAAAATTTCCCCCAACATCCATTGATTTTAGTTGTTGGATCATAAATTGTCAATTAACATTGTCAAAAGCCTTCTGTTCATCAAGGAACAGAAGTGCCACTTGACGATCGCTATGCAATTCATAAAATTCAAGGATGTCTAAAACTGTTCTTATATTCTGCTTAGTCTGCCTGTTTGGTAAAAACCCATTTTGATCTGAATGTATGAAATCAACTAGGTATTTTTTGAATCTCTCCGCCATTATTGAGGCAAAAATTTTATAAATAGAATTCAATAATGATATAGGTCTATAATTTTGTATCTGTGTTTTTTCCGCTTCTTTTTTGTAATCAATATTATATTTGCCTCTGACCAGGACTTAGGTATTTTAGCATAGGTTAATACTGTGTTGAAAACTTCTAGTAGGTATTGATTGAGTGCACTTTGTTGTTCTTTATATAGTTCCGCAGGTATTCCCTCTGGGCCAGTCGCCTTATTGATCTTTTGTTTATTTATAGCCCTGATTACTTCAGCCATTCTTATTTCCTCATTTAACATAGATTTTATTTCCTCCGGAATCTTCAGTATGTCTACCTTCCCTAAGTATTCTATTATCCTTCTTACATTTTCCCCCTCATTTCTCTTATATAATTTTTCATAGTATCTTTGAGCGATTCCCCTTTCTATAGTCTCCTCCCCCTGGGTCTCTCCTTTCACATCTTCCAAATTAATAATCCATTGCTTCTCTTTCTGCCTTCTTAGTTTATACGCTAGCCATCTTCCTGGTTTATTCGCGTGCTCAAAGTTATTTTGCTTAGCTGCCTTAGTTTTTGTGCTAACTTTTCCAAATCCTCTATACAGAGTTTATGTTTAATTAAATCCATTTTGTTTTTCAATCCTTTGTTTTCAGGAGCTCTCTGAAATTGTGTTTCGGCTTGTTTGTATTCTTCCTCTGACCTCATCCTATATTGTTTTTTCTCTTTGTTTCTCTTAGCCATGTACGAAATTGCTACACCCCTCATGTATGCTTTTGCCATGTCCCAAATGTTCTGCAAGGATGTATCCTCATTGTCATTCGCTTGAAAGAAAAAGTGCATTTCTTTCTCCATTCTTTCTTTAAATTCTTTTTCTTTAAGAATCACTCTTTGGAGAGTCCATCTTGGCCTGCTTCTTTGTCCTTCCAAGCGAAAACTTATCGGATTATGGTCTGCTCAGAGCTAGGTTCAATATCAATTTCTGAAGCTAATTCCTTGGTAAACCATGGCATGTCTATCCTGGTCCATGATCTATGTCTATTGGGAAAGTATGTGTATTCCCTCTTATCATAATTCCTTTCCCTCCAAACGTCATGTAAGCTAAGATCTGTACACATCTCAAAGAAAGTTTTGGGAAGTATTATTTTTTCCTTTCCTTGCCTCCGTACTTTTATGGTCTTTTGTTTTATCTGCAATCGCATTAAAATCTCCGATTATACAGAAACCATCTCCCTCCGTATCACTCAGCTTGTTATGAAGATTTTTAAAAAAGGATACTTGAGCTCCATTTGGGGCATATATTACAACAATTATTATATTTTTTTATTCAGCTTAGCCTCCACTATCAAGACCCTTCCCTCTTTGTCTTTATAGATTTGTTTCAAAATTATCTTCTGCTTAACATACAGAGCTACTCCTCTCTTTTTTTCTCGTCTAGTGAAACATATAGCTTACCTAATTTAGGTTGTTCTAATAGATATTCTTGATCATTTTTTATGTGAACCTCCTGTAAGGCAATAATGTCCGCATTTAGTCTAATAAGCTTATTAAAAACTTTCCTACGTTTTACTGGTGCATTCAACCCTCTAATATTTGTTGACCAAATCTTATACTCCTCTCCCATTGTCCTGTTTTTGTCGTGTCTTTGTGCTTCTAGTAATTCTTATTTTCTTCGCCTCCTCTAAGCTTCTCCCCTGCTGTTCTAGCCTATCATGACCTCTTCTCCCTCTCACTTCCTCCATGCTTTGCTCTGTCCCTCTTTTCTCCAACATTCATTCAATATCTCTTCTTTTTTCAACCATAACTCTTTCTTCTCCGAGATTCCTCAGGTCTTCCTCTGAAGCACAATATTGCCTGTAGAAGTCTTCTGCTTTCTCTACTGTACACAATCTAAACCTCTTCTCTTGCCAAGTCACAATAAATCCCTCTGGTGTTAACCATCTAAACTTTACATTGCTTTGATGTAACCTGGACATCAGGAAGAGGTAGTTCTTTCTGAGGTCTCTCATCCTTTTTGGTATCTGTTTTAATATAATAATTTGTTTCCCTCCATATTCTAATTGCTCATCACGTGTTCTATATAATAGTTCATCTCTAATTTTCTTTTTTATAAACTTCACATAGACCTCTCTGGGAAGGTTATGTCGTCTCCCATAATTTGTCTGCACCCTATATGTCTCGTCCATTCCAGCGATCATCTCTTCTTTGTCAGTCTCCAGAGTTCCTGCCAACAAATCTGTTATCTTGTCTGG